ATTACACTGATGGATCATAGAAATCTTGTTTGATATCGGGTCTCTATAAGGACTGGGCATGGAAAGGGGGATATATGTGTGTCATATGAAATGTGGCTGAAGTTCAGAGAAATAGGTTTCATTTAATAGCTGAATACTGGATGACCTGACCATTCTTCTCAGCCTCTGGCAGCTCACCCTGTGAGCGATAGAGGATTCGCCTGCATGAACCGAGGAGTAGTTGCTGGCCTCAATGTGATTTTGCAGTGATCTGTGTGCTCTCCGGCTTCCTTCATAACCAACAAATCAATTCCCACTATACGTATTACACACCCCAGTGGCAGAGGCCATTTATTATCCTTTTGATGGTCATACTCTTTGTACATAACCAAGAAAGATTACAGGGGAAGGAGAGAACAGTGGAAATGTGGATGAAGATATTGTACAATGGCCCTGCATCTTAGACTATGCCTTGCATGTGTACGAGAATAAAAGAGAGGTTTGCTTTCAAGAAAATGTTGAAACATGGATGCAGAGTTTTCTTTTGAATGAAATCTATTTCAGAAACAACGAATCGAGAGAGGGTTGTGGATGTAATTCTCCGTCGGTACACCCTTGGATTTCAAGTGCAAATTCGAAATGATTAAGAGAAACGGACTGTCACTGTCATATGAGAATTGTCTGTAAGGCTCTCCTTGATGAGTTTTGTTCACCTGATAAGCTTGTTGATAACTTCTTTTTATTTGGCATCATTTGGCATCAACTAATTCCTTTATTAATTTCTAACTGTGAAGTCTGTAATTGTTCAAACTCTAAATGATGGATTCCAGGTTTTTCCTAATTCTTTGGTTCCCGATGTTCGAGTTACCATTGTTAAATGAACAAGTAAAATCAAATATTGAAGTGTGTTAAGCAGGTACAAAGCAATTGAGAGTTTTGAGTTAGATATAAATGCTCCACGATGATATTTTAGTATTATTTGTCCTAACTCACATGCCCCAGAAACCAATATGTGTATCTGAATGTGAATGGGAAACATTTATCAGTGAAACTAATGGCAAAAGTATGACTTTATAGTGGGTTCTGTGAATAAACACTTAAACTGCTTAGTCATTTGTCTCAATGGGTATGAAAAGAACAGTGGAAATTTTCAAAGGTCAAATAGGCTACCGTCTCTTCTGTTTTGCATCATTTGAGATTTTCTGGTGTTTTGCAAACAACACAATGCCAAATCTGCATTTGATTTTCTCTTCTCTTTGAAGGGGCAAAACAGCAACGGAATAATTAACTGAAGAGGAGCGGGCACAGACTATTTTGCTTTAGGAGGGTAGAAAGTTCTGGGTTTCATTTCACATGATGATAAATGTAGCAAGGTATTCTGGAATCCTCCTATGAGGACTCTGTTACCAATGGTAAACCCAAACCTCTCAGGGGCCTGTTTCCTGTTTAGCTGTTCCTCGTTTGTATAATTGAAAAGCATGCTCACTACAGACTCCGCACGGAGTTCTGGGTTAGATGATGGTCTACATCTTCATGGCAAAATACAGACCCGAACAACAAAGGAACGGTCGATGTCAAATTCAGTGCCTCCTTCGTCCGGTGCAGACCAGAAGGCTAAAGTCTTGGGTTGGAATTCTGAGAACAATATGTTTCTTTTGTTTGTTTGTGTGTTTTGTTTTTTACTTTCTGTTGTCGCCCGTTTGTTCTTTGTTCCCCCAAAGGCTCTTAGTTCTATTATTTATCTTCTCCTTTTCATGGTGCAATTATCATCGTATTTAACAGTCTTCAGAGAGAGATGAGCTTTTGCATATACAATCTTTTGTATCTCTCTATGAATCCCATTTCTTTTATGTTCTCACGCTGCCTCGACTTGTTTTGGTTTTATCATTGTTCCTGAACTACTTCGTATCATACTAGCTTCTTCTTTGGTAAGATGTTTTTAATCCGGACCATTTTTGGTTGAGGAATTTCCCAAATTATTCTAGAAACATATTCTAGAGCAGAATCAGACAGGCTAAGGTTCCAAGACAGGACTTGGAACCTAGTTATTATAAAGATCAATTACTGATTCAACAAAACCAACATTTTATTAAGCTGGTGATGGTATATACCGATGATATTTACTGCTTGAGTTAAATAACATATGCATCTCCTGCTTATATCTCTTTAAAATGAAAGGAATCATATCAACTGCTATATTTCTTAGGCTTGATGGAAGGCCAACCTATTTCAAAGCAGCTCTGGTAAATATTGGAAGAGGGGAAAGAGGGTGAAAGCGTGGATTGAGTATTTACTATTTTGTGATGACAGTGCAGAATCACACTGTTCAAATTGTTTTACATCTGTTAATTTGGTCATTATCCTGACCCTGGCTTATGGGGTACTATCACTACTCCCCTTTTCCATATGAGCAAACTGAGGCATAGATAGGAGTTCTATGTAGACATTGAGGCTTTGGGCATTTGAGTCCAAAGTTTGTATTTCTAGTCGGTAAGCTATGGGAACCCTACTGTGTACTCCCTGCACATTTTCTTGGGATTAGGTGGGGAACAAGTTCTGCCTCGACAGTTATTTTCAAATACTTCTTCATCTTCTTTCCTGCAAAAGCTCTAATTTTATAAACTTTGAAAACATCGTTTTGTCCCAATACCAAACAGAGAGAGGAAACCGAAGCTAAGTCAGAACACCTTGCATGTAATTATTGTACATTTAGTTTCACCTGAAAATGTCAGTATAGTGTTAAAGAATAAAAGACTTTTTAAGTTTCAAATTTTCATTACCATAGTTTTAGTGATATATTAACAATGCATTTCAATTTTTAAAATAAGATAGTTAAGGGACACATGTACTCCAATGTTTACAGCGATGCTTTCGACAATAGCCAAATTATGGAAAGAGCCTACATGTCCATCAACTGATGAATGGATAAAGAAGATGTGGTTTATGTATACAATGGAATACTACTTGGCAATGAGAATGAAATCATGCCATTTGCAGCAACATGGATGGAACTGGAAGGTGTCATGCTAAGTGAAATAAGTCAGTCAGAGAAAGATAATGTATGTTTTCACTCATATGCAGAACTTGAGAAACTTAACAGAAGATCATGGGGGAAGGGAAGGGGAAAAAAATAGTTACAGAGAAGGAGGGAGGCAAACCATAAGAGACTCTTAAATACAGAGAACACACTGAGGGTTGATGAGGGGCGGGTGGCAGAGAGGGAAAAATGGGTGACGGGCATTGAGGAGGGCACTTGTTGGGAGGAGCACTGGGTGTTGTATGAAAGCGATGAACCATGGCAATCCACCCCCAAAACCAAGAGCACACTTTACACACTGTATGTTAGCCAATTTGACAATAAATTATATTAGAATATAAAATAAAATAAGTAAAATAAAATAAAAATAAATAAAATAAGATAGTCAACTTTATATTTTTAATTAAAAAAAAATAAACTATTTTTTGAGAGTGTGGAGGAGGGGTGGAGAAAGTGGGAGACAGAGGATCTGAAACAAGGTCTGTGTGGACAGTGGAGAGCCTGATGCAGGGCTGGAACTCACAAACCTTGAGAATGTGACCTGAGCTGAAATCGAGAGTCGGATACTTAACCACCTGAGCCTCCCAGGCACCCCCGAAATAGTTAAATGTTTAACAGGTTATAACCAAAAATGAAATCTCATTTTAATAAAGAAGGAACACCGTGGGTAGGTGAGATAAGCAGGGATATATTACAGATTTTAAAGATTTTTAAAAATAAGTTTATTCTTGGGGCGCCTGGGTGGCGCAGTCGGTTGAGCGTCCGACTTCAGCCAGGTCACGATCTCGCGGTCCGTGAGTTCGAGCCCCGCGTCAGGCTCTGGGCTGATGGCTCGGAGCCTGGAGCCTGTTTCCGATTCTGTGTCTCCCTCTCTCTGCCCCTCCCCCGTTCATGCTCTGTCTCTCTCTGTCCCAAAAATAAATAAACGTTGAAAAAAAAAATAATAATAAGTTTATTCTTTATAATAGTTCCTTTTCATATTTCTTTTAACATTTTGTATTGTTGTAAAAATACACATAACATAAAAATTTATCATCGCCACCATTTTGAAGTACCGCTCAGCAATGCTAAGTACATTCACATCATCATGCAGCCGATCTCCACAATTTCCTCATCTTGCAGAACTGAAACTATACCATCAACCCCCGCCCCCGACCCCAGACCCTGGAAAACTGCATTCTGCTTTCTATCTTTGTGAATTTGACTATTCTAGCTCCCACACGTAAGTTAGCCCTACAGTATTTGTCTCTTTGTGACTGGCTTGATTCACTTAGCATAATGTCCTCTGGATCGAGCCACGTGGCAGCACGTGCTAGTTTCCTTTCTTTTTAAGGCTGAATAATTCATTGGGTGGACACTTGGGCGGCTTCTGCCTTTTGGCTGTAGTGAATAATGCTATGCACATGGGTGTGCAAATATTGGTGCGAGATTCTGCTTTGCATCCTTTTGGCTACCTACCCAGGAGGGGTATTGCTGGCTCATATGTTAATTCTCATTTTCATTGTTTGAGGGCCTGCCATGCATTCTGTGTTCCCTAGCAAGGCTCCATTTTATGTTCTTACCGACAGGGCACAAGAGTTCCTATTTTTTCACATCCTCATCAACACTTGCTATTTTATGGCCTTCTTTTTCTTTTCCTCCTTTCTTCTTTTTCCTCTTCTTCCTCTTCGTCTTCTTCTCCTCCTTTACCTCCTTCTCCTCCTTCTCCTCCTTCTTCTGCACTTTTTTCTATTTTTGACAGTAGTCGTCCTAATAGGTGTGAGGCGATATCTCACCGTGATTTTGATTTCCATTCCTGGGTGCATGCTTCTTTCCATGTTCCCTGGGGATCCTCCACCAGAGCCGAAAGAAATAGAGATCACTTGAGCCCAAGTGTTTCAGGAATAGTCTCGTTCAATTTTACTTTCACAATGTCTTTATTGTCATTTCAAAATATTTTACTGCTGGTTGTCCTGGAAGCTCAGGATTCATCGTTTCTTTGTAGGTGTTCCTCGGTTGCTGATGGTACTGGATCTAGAGAATTCTTCAAGCACCTTCATTTCGGGATGGTGTCGGCGTTCTCGGAACTTCAACTCGCTGAGTGGCGAAGCCAGGGCTTCTGGTACATCATCCTACTGATGGCATCTCTCTGGTTCCTGAGGCTCTACCTCCATTACCTTAGCCAGTGGCTTTTCCTCCAGGCCATTTCAATTCCTGTTACAAAGTGAGTGCCTTCCCTTGAAAGTTAAAGCAATGCATTTTCGTCTTGATAGGCCAAATGAAAGTACAAAACTCCTCTCCGTCCACGTAGCGCAAGACCTAAAATGCAGCACAGACCCAGGATTTGGAAAGACAAAAAAAATGTCTTTATCTCAGAGCAGCAACGTCTATTGCATTCTCATCTTCTGGGCCTCGATTTACAAATACATAACTGGCACATCGATATTTATTTCAAATTGAACAGAGTCAAGTATGTTCTAATATCTGAGCAGAATCCAAAAAGGAGTTTAGCAACAGTGTTTTATTCTGTTTTGATTTTATCACAGTGACTCTGGCTGAGAGTAGTTTAGAAGTAATGTAAGTATGATTTATCACCTATACGCACAGAGGCAAAGATTGCTTCTTCTGCAAAGTGATTGAATTCAAACAATTACCAAACTCAAGCCCAGGCAGCTTTCCGGGCCATTATACCCTGGAAAAAGATGACACTTTACAGGTTATCTCTCCATAAACATGATTCCATAGATGGTATAGATAAACAAACAGATAGAAATCAATATAAGTAAAATTCATTTTCCCAAATGTAGATGTTCCAGATAAAAGTAAAGATGTGTGTATATTTTCTTTCTTTTTTTTTTTTTTTTTTTTAACATTTATTTATTATTGAGAGACAGAGAGAGACAGCATGAGCAGGGCAGGGGCAAAGAGAGAGGGAGACACAGTATCTGAAGCAGGTTCCAGGCTCTGAGCTGTCAGCACAGAGCCCGGCGCGGGGCTCAAACCCACAAACGCGAGATCATGACCTGAGCCGAAGTTGGATGCTTAACCGACGGAGCCACTCAGGCGCCCTTTTTTCTTTTTAATTCTTTTTAAGATATGTGTATATTTTCAACTTAGAGGACTGCATATAACTTTAAGACACTATGAAAAAGAATATGTGTGTATACTATATACACACAGATGTGGTTTTTTGTCATGTTTTGAAATTAAGTCACAAATACACGAATGCTCTAGAATATGCACATTTACATATAATAAATTACTGTAGCTTCACAGGAGAATTTTTACTTAGCTATTATTTTTCTTCCTTTCTTCTCTTTTTTTTCCCCTCTCTCCCTTTTTCCCTTTCTTCTGTGTGAGGGCTTCCAAAGCAGAAGGGACAAATGTTGTATGCTCGAGCTAGTTGCTTTTTGCTAACGGCTCTTTTACTTCTTCAATTAAAAAAAAATAGCTTTATCTTTATTGGCTGCTAGTAAAATGGGACTGTGAGAAAAATATCTGGGCAGCCTAGTTGATCCGATTTCTTAAGCATCAGAAGACCCAAGATATGATAGGATATTTTGTCTAGATCTGTAGGCTCGAATCCTGCATTAGCTCCACATCAAATGTAGTTGTGAGACAAGACAATAACTACAGCCACAATGAGCATTTCTCCTGCTCTGACTCTCTGTTGGGCCCTCTGCTAAGAAATCTACACACATTACTTCATTTGATATTCACAACTGCATAGGAAGGAAGCATAAAGCTTCCGTCAAAGCAAAGGTCAGGGAGTAGATAAAATGAAGAACTCTTTTTAGTAGAGAGCTGCTAAGTAGGATACACAAGCAGAATTACAAAGGCTGAAATGCAGGGGAGGGAAAATTTAGAGCACGGTGAAGTCTCACTTTGCATGGAAAAAAGGTGCCAAGGCCTGGGTCAGTCTGTACTGGGCCTGCCTTGGATTCAACCCTTAGGTTTTTAGGTTGTGTCACACTGTCCCTTTTAGAACAACTAAGAGATGCCCTATTTTTGTTGTTAGTAGAGCAGCGTTGTTTTGTATTTAAGGGTATATCTAGAGGAATCACAGGAAAACTAGTCACGTACGCTAAAGCTCAGAAGAGTTATTAGACTGATTTGTATTTCTGGTCCCTATCAGAGGTTGACCCATGGCTAGGTACACTGATATATTTTGCATTTCAAATAGCCTACCTGTCAGTATGTGTTACTCGCAGGGCAGTTTTTATAGAATATAGAATGTTCTGTTCAGTGGATAGAACTGATATTCTTTCTATTGTTGCCTATGATACAAGAGCCACGGACAAGCTAGAAATAGCCTTTTACTGGAAAGTGAACTGTTGGGGTGGTACTTTGGGGTAGGGAAAGGTGAAGTTTCCTAACACCCGATTTGGGGGTAGTATTAAGTGTCATTGTTTGTATATTAAAAAAAAGAAAATGTGTCATTTAAAAAATTATTTTGTGTGCCTGGCATCTTGTATAATTTCTCTTGTTTACATGTGTGTGTTTGCTTTGTTCTCCTGCAGATTCCATTTTTCCCCTTTCACGGTTGAGCTTTGCTACCCATCTTCCTCACTTGCCATCAAAGAAGAGTTGCTCGTAGTTGTGGTGGGTCCTTTAATGCTGAATGCAGTGATACTTCCTTTGGTTCTGATCAGATGGGGCTGTCAGCTACTGTTTGCCTCCTGCCCTGATGTCTTGTCAAAATTAATCATTACCATGGGACTATGGACAGTTCTAGACCCATTGGCCGTGTTTATAGTGGATACTGTCCTCGGGGTAAGTCAAGTAAAATAATCGGGATATGAGTTCTTGACATAGAATTTAGCTTCAGTGCATGAATCAGCTGACATGAGAGGTTTCAAGAATCATGAGCAATTCACTATGTATCTTAAATTGAAGTTATTAAGCTTTCCACATCATAAAAAAATTCTGGATGTCTATTATTATCCATTGATGTGCTTTTAGCATCTTAAATGAACATTTGCAAAATAAGCAAGAAATAATGTTGGAGATCAGATCCAAACTAATTTTGGTGCATTTTCAAAAAAAAAAAAAACAAAACCTATTACAGTGAAGTCTTATTTGTAACTTTTTGTTGGTAACTTACTTTTTAGTAGTAAGGATTTTCACTGCCAAACTTTATTTAAAAAGTAATCATACAGTGGTTCCTTCAATTGGTTAGATTATTTATTTGCTTTGTGATCAACGACTCTTCTGTAATAAACACACTCAAGAAGAAGAAGAGCTTTTTAGACAATTCTAGGTAATAAATAAAATATAAAGCCTTCGTCCATAGGCATTTATTTTGACTTTTGTGATGCTAATAAAAGGAAAGGAAATCTGAATTTTAACTAAATTTTTGTATTGTAGATCTGGCTATGAAATATAACCCCAAGCAAGAGAGCGAACGGATACTATAAATAAATCAATATGATCAAATATTCATTTAAAAATTATCTCAATTTATCGAATAATATTCTACAATGGGTATATTTCTCCTATCAGGAAGAAAAAGGAAGATTTCCCGATGGGTTTACATAGGTCGAGACTGTATTCATTGTGCTAAGCAGATCAAAGAGGTGGGGCATTTTGATGGACTCTACTTGTTAAGTGTTTGAAATGTGCTTTTAGAACTAAAGACCAAATTGGTGTTCAAACTGCATCGTGAAGATAGCGTCCTGGGTGCTGTGGTAGACAGCTAGGATGGGCAAAGCCGGTCACGGTTTTATTTCTGTCTCTCAGGTCGCACAATGCTGCAGCAGGTTTTCTCAAGGATCCTGGGCTTGCATCACTTGGGGGTCTTATTAAATGCAAATTCTGATTTGGCAGCTGGAGTGTGGGATTCTGCATTTTAACAGATTCCTAGGCGACACCAGAGATGTCGGCTCCATGGGCCAGACCGCACCGTGACAGGGTGCCGGATGTTTTACTGAGACAGCCTCTCTCCCTTTCCTTTGTTTGCTAGGTGGGGCTTTCACTTCTTCTGGGTTCCTGGGTTGTTCTCAACAAGACCTGGACCTAGGTGCACTGAGTCCCTTGATGGGTTGTTAGGCTTTGTGTGGGCATTCTGCCTGCGTATTTGGCATTAGAATGACCTCTGCTAGAAAGGCTTAGAACCTGCAGATAAGTGCAGTAGTTGACCCTGCGACCATGTAGATCATTTAACATTATTAAAATGAATTAAAATCAATGCACATTGAACCTACCAATGTATCTAGTTTCTGGTCCCACTGCTGAGGATTCGGGGAAGGGCCACATACCAAGGACAGTTGATCAGTGTTTGGAAGGCCCGATTGTTTCCACGTTCAAACCTGCAACTACCCTCTTAAGCCTCAATACCGTCTAACACCTTGATGAGAGGTCCGAAGAGGTTGTGTTTTCAACCCCATCTCTAAGTGTTTCCACCCTGATCGTTGGCTGCATTTCTGATTCTGAGTGGATTGAGCTGGAGCCAGTTGGACTTTGTCCACATTCCCACTTCCCTCAGACCCCAGGTGAGAGACGACGAGACCACACCCTCAAGGTTGGTTGAGCAGGAAGTGTAGAGAAACATGCTGTGGACATTCTGGTAGCATCATGTTCCATGGCATCTCAGAATGCCTTCCAGAGGCCTGAGGTGCGTATTGAGCAGATGGGGTGCCGGTGTGATCCGCGACACCACATGTGAAGCCATTTGGAGAGGATGAGCGGCTATGTCTATGATCTTCTGAGATCTCCTTGTACAGAATGTCTGCAGCCCTCTCAGAATGGCTTTCTGTATTCCAGTCGAGTCCTCTAGAGAGATTAATAGCTGAAGGATCCACTGTATCAAAGGCAGCTGACACAACGAGCAGTCTTAATATACTCTGGGGCCTCTGATGTAATCTATAGGAAAGTAGCCTCCAGCAGGGCCATCTCAGAACCAGTTCAGAGGTCTGTAACCTGATGGAAACTGACTTGGACTCTAATAGATGAGTATGGCACCCATATCCTTCTCCACTTGGAAAGAAAAGCTGAAGGCTCGTTCCCCATCTGCACAATTATTGATTCTCCAATTAGAATCGATCATGCTTCATTGCAGATGACATCTAATTTTTCTGTCTTAAGAAAAAAAAAAAACTTTAAAGCTGCATGTAATGCACAGAGCAGCAACACTGGAGTCTACACATGGACACTCCCAATAATTAAATCTAAATACACTTTTTAACATGCTCTCCAGGGGCGCCTGGGTGGCTCAGTCGGTTGAGCGTCCGACTTCAGCTCAGGTCATGATCTCATGCTTCATGGGTTTGAGCCCCGCGTTGGGCTCTGTGCTGACAGCTCAGAGCCTGGAGCCTGCTTCGGATTCTGTGTCTCCCTCTCTCTCTCTGCCCCTCTTCCGTTCGCGCTTTTTCTCTCTCTCAAAAATAAATAGACGTTAAAGAAATTTTTAAACAAACAAACAAAAAACCAGAAAACAAGCTCTCCAGTGATGGAACAGCGCACCAAGTTTTCGAGGTGCTTCTCTAAAGCAGTGGTTCACAAAACGAGGTCACTGGACCAATGGCATCCGTTTTACCAGGGAACTTAACTGCAGTGCAAATTGAAATGTAAAATCTCAGGCCCTGCACCAAAGCCGTGGAGGCAGAAAGTCTGGGAAGGAGCCCAGCCTCTGAGAAGGGGTTACTGTGTTTTAACAAGTCTTCCAGATGATTCTCATGCTCATTAAATTTAGAGAACTACTGTTCCACATGCCTTCATAATTATCCCAGACTGAATGTCACTCATGAGACTGGAGTTGTCTCGGTTCATACTTCCGGTTCTTTGAGCCCTTCTTTTTAGCAGATAAACCCAGGGATAACTTGTATTGGATCCTGGTAGGCCCGCCAAGAGAGAGGCTACCTTATTTTCCTGATAGGTTTTGTTCTGGATCAATTTTTTTTTTTTTTTTATGGCAATCTAAAAGGAGATGTGGCAGATGCAATGGTTTGAGGCTGAGGCATTGAGTGGCTGTTGATGGTGCTAATAACATTTTGTTAGTCTCTCAGTTTGCTGGTTCATAAGTTGGCAATGAATTCCCAGACCCCCATTGATGATACAACAGTTCCATTGAGTTCATAAATTCTTTCCGTGCCTAAGCCCCAATCTAGATAAAAAGTAGAGGAAGCATTTGCTGTTGAATGTTTTAATTGATCAGCATGTATTTATTGACTATACAATCTCTGCCCGAGATTTTCTCTTTCTTTTAAGTTTATTCATTTATGTGGGGGTGGAGGGGAAAGGGCAGAGGGAGAGAAAGGGAGGGAGAGAGAATTCCAAGCAAGCTCCAAGTTGCCAATGCAGAGCCCACCGCAGGGCTGGAACTCGCAAAACCGTGAGATCCTGACCTGAGCCGAAACCAAGGGTCGGATGCTTAACCGACTGAGCAACCCAGGTGTCCCTCTCTGCGCAGGATTTTAAAAGAAACAGAATAAGTTTGAGGTTGTTTCTGCCCTCCGTATAGATAGTGAGAAAAGAATAGCACATAAGAACCAAGATCAAACAAAAGGTAGAATACAAGTGTCTTCCTTCAGCCAATCATTCTTGAAAATCCATCAGAAATGATCATGGAAGAGCATGGTAATAGAGCGCTTTCCAAGGGAAAATTGGGTTCTGGTCCCACCTCTGCCATTTGTCAGCCAGATGACGTTGGATAAGTCAGTTAACCTCTTCAGTCTTCACCTTCTTCATATGTATCACGAAAAAAGTAATAACACCTACAAATAGTGACACCTACCATACTCGTTGCACAGTGTTGTTGGGGCAGCCAGCTGGAAATGCACTTTGAAAAATGTAAGGCACCTCACATCAAAGATGAAAAGAATGAGGATAAAGATGGTAATGAAATGATACGACTTACGCTCTGTATACAACATCAGGTAGAACAGCCGTGGCCCCAGTGATCCAGGCAGGAACTTACAACCTAACTGGAGAATCACACACAAAGAGGAAGTATGGGCAGTGTGTTCTGAGAGCCTTCTGGTAGGCCTATCATCATTCCCTTATATCCTTTAAATCTTTGTTCAAATGGCGCCTTTTCTGATTGCAGTATTTAATAATACACCCCCATCCCTCCTACACTTTTTTCTGCTTTACGTTTTTCTTTGAGATTCTATCTTCTTATATGCCATATGTATCACTTAATCTTACTTACATGCTTACTATCACTTCCTTCCCCTCTCCCCAACCCCCGACTTAAAAGTAAGCTCCAAAAACAGGGCTTTCGTCCAATTTTATTCACTGTCTTACCTCCAGAGCTTAGTGACACATGATGGGCGTTCACAACAATGTGTGTGGATCAAACGAGTGATCAACATCTATTGATTAAATTATGTTATTGGCATCAAATATATATCTTTTTTTTGTTTGTTTTTTTCAGCAGTGAATACTGCGTCTATTTCTCTTCCTTTAAGAAATAGTAGAAAGATTAGATCTAGAAGAGGAGAGGTATACGGCAACACTTACAGATCTTCTGCCTAAAGTCCAAGTGACGGTTCTGTATTCTGCAAGGTAGACTGAGTAACATGTACAGAATATAAAAATCAAAGTTTTGGCATGACAGTGAAAGAAACGACAGTTGGGAGTCAGAAGATCTGACTTCTAGTCATTGCCCACATGTTAAAGGATGGTAAAGGGAAAATACAGATTAACCTCTCTAGGCTTCTGATTTTATCTATACATATGTGATATGGATTAGTTTTGAACATGCCCTTTTAAGCTATACTTATATAGTTGCCTGTTTCAAAAGTGAAGAAATTCTTCCTCCTTTCTTACATTGAAGAAAACATACCTTATTTACATTTATATTGCATATTACTTCCACCTGATATCAGAGTCATAATTACAGAACATTTATGTTTTATAAAACTCAAAGGTCAAAGATGTCAAATGACAATGTTCTAGGTCCTCAACATTTAATATTGTTTTTAAAGGCCTCATTGCCTTGTATTTATTTCAAACTCAGTAGAGGATATGCTTTTCCTTGTCTCTAATAAGGACTTATTGTTAAATTGACCTAATGTAAACTTTGGTTTCCAAGCTCACATTAAATAGCCTGATAACTTTTTTATAAGTTTCTAAAATAAGCCATCTATTTTATGCATAGCACAAATTAAATTCCTTTCAAATCTGCTTCAGAGAGAAAGGGATCTTTCCACCATCATATTTAATTTCTTCATATCTTGTGCTCATTAAATTCAGAAGTTAATAGTACATAAATAATATATGGCTTTCACTTTATGAATTGCATGTAGAGTGTACACATTTAAAAGCTTATAGGGAAAATGAGGAGAAAAAAAAAAACCCTAGCAAACCAGCCATGAAAGCCAAGGGGTTTTCTTTTCCTTTACAGCTGAAGATCTGGTGGTCTTTACTACCCTGAAAATTCAATTTAAAAACAAATTGTGGTATCATATGGTTTTTTTGTGTATAAAATTAATCTCGCTTGATGATCAGTGTTTCCATCCTAATTTTTTTTTTGATTTGTATTTTTTTCCCTCAGCGGCTTACACAGAATGGGGAGACTCCCGTAGCTGACGCAGCAAAGCTGTACTGGGTGTTTGTAAGAACCATGCAGTCGGGAATTCTCGGTGTCATGCTCACAGTGCTAATTTACATCCTCCTGTTCATCATTTCTTCTTTGATTTTATATTTGTACTGTCTCAGGTAAGGTGCTTCAATCTTTTTTGGGTCTTTAGAGTGTTCAGTCTTGTTCTGCAGTCAGGCTGTGAGACTATGGTTGAAGAAGAGAAGTTAGAATCACATCTACCCATCTAAGATAGAAATGTCCTTGTTTGTAGCAACTGTCATGAAAATCAGCTGAGAAATTGACTTTTGGGGGAAGATTTCTCCATAATGGAGAGATCACATTTTTCTGCAAATCATTATACTTAGCGCTTCCAACTAGGGGCCAACAAGAAACAAAGAGTAATCCTGTGATACCCAAAATATTCTGGTAAGTTTCCTGGGCAGCTCATGTAAAATTCTTTTTTTCTCCCCCTTCCAACCCACTCTCTTTCCAGTCTTCCTGCCCCCGCCAGAATCACCAATAGAAGAATCATCCTGCAGCTTTTATCCTGAATGTCATAGGGTCTTGCTTTCCAGTTTGCTCATTTGGCAAGAAATGTATGTGAATGAAAAAAGATGAGAAAAGCAACAAATTTGAGGCAGCACGAAAAGGGCCAGGAACACATTTCACTCTGTTGATGGTGTCCTTTGTTGTGTAGAAGCTTTCAAGTTGGAAATAGTCCCACTTACTCAATTTTGCCTTAGTTGCCTGTATTTTCAAAAGCTATTTTCATATCCGTGTAATCGTTGTCAAACACAATGTCATGAAGCTGGGTATCCATTTGCATGTGGATATCCAGTTTTCTCAGCACCATTTGTTGAAAAGACCATCCATTACCCACTGTATATTCTTGGCATCCTTGTTGAAGATTGGTTGACTGTATATGCGTGGATTTATTTCTGGGATCTTTAGTCTGTTCTATTGGTCTAAATGTCTGTATTTATGCCATTACCACACTGTCTTAATTACTGTATCTTTGTAACATAATCCAGCAACTCCACTTCTAGAGATTTATCCAAAAGAAATACAATCAGGATCCCAAAGAGATATTAGCACTCCCATGTTCATTGCAGCATTATCCACAATTGCCAAGATTGAAAAACAGCCTAAATGTTCAACAGCAGATGAATGGATAAAGAAAATATTGTGGAGGGGGGCCTGGGTGGCTCGGTCAGCTGAGTGTCTGACTTCAGCTCAGGTCACGATTTCATGGTTCATGGGTTCGAGCCCCACGTCAGGCTCTGTGCTGACAGTTTGCTCAGAGCCTGGAGCCTGCTTTGGCTTCTGTGTCTCTTTCTCTCTTGCTCCTTCCCCACTTGCGCTTTGTCTCTCAAAAATAAATAAATGTTAAAAAAATAAGAAAAAAAGAAAATGTTGTGGACACACACAATGGAATATTATTCAGTTTTGGAAAAGAAGGACGTCTTGCAATATGTGACAATATGGAAGAACCTTGAGAACATTATGCTAAATGAAATAAGCCAGTCACAGGAAGACAAATACTACATGATTCTACTTATATGAAGCATCTAAAATAGTCAAAGTCATAGAAGCATAGAGTGGAATGGTGATTGTTAGGGTCTAATGGGGAGGGGGAAATAGAGATTTGCTTTAGAGCAGACATAAAGTTTCACTTACGCAAGATGATTTAGTTTTGAGATCTGCTGTACCACATCATGCCTATAATTAACAATACTCTATTATACACTTAAAGATTATTAAGAGAGTATATTTCATGTTAAGTGTTCTTACCATAATTAACAAAGAAAAAAGTGCTAGGAGGAGGTCAACACAAGTGTCTCTGAGAGCATACATAGAACAAAGGAACCAAGACAGGTCTGGAAGAGGATTGGGGCAGAAACCAAAGACATAAGTGGAAATATAACCCTTGAGTAATTTTCAGAGGTTTCATATAATTTGGCTGGAGAAAAACAGAAGAAAACACATGCACAGGCAAAGGAAAGATGTGTGAACCCACGTGATCATGAGAAAGTATGATGTATTTGGCCACACCAAAGTTTTTTAATATGGCTGGAGTACAAGATAAGGGACGATGGCAGTTGGCTGAGATAAGATTAGAAATGTAGTCAGGGACTAGATGATAAAATTATTGAATATCAGGGTGCCTGGGTGGCGCCCAGTCAGTGGAGCATCCAACTCTTGATTTTGGCTCTGGTCACGATCCCAGGGTTGTGAGAACGAGCCCTGCATTGGACTCTGCATAGGCCCTGAGTCAGGCCCTGTGTTGAGCATGGAGCCTACTTAAGATTCTCTCTCTCTCTCTCTCTCTCTCTCTCTCTCTCTTCCCCCATCTGCCCCTTTCCTGCATGCTCTCTCTCTCTCAAAAAAAAGTATTAAATATCATGTTGTGGAGTTTGAATTTGTTCTAATGGTAAGGTGAAAAGAATGGAAGATTTTAAATAACTTTAATTTTAGGGCAATAACTCTACTAGGAGAAAGGAAAGTGGATTTAATAGTGGTCAGATTGAACTAAGGGAAATCTAATGAGAAAGCCGTGAGTATCAAGAGCCTTAACTAAAGAGAATGACATGGGAAGTGGACTGTTGTGGCATATTGAAGAAATAGGTGACACACAATAGAACCTTTGGCCTTGTTGGAAGTTGAAGATGAAGGAAAGGATGGCATTTAGCATAACCTTAGGTTTTGGAGTTGGGTAGAAAGGTGGATGTTGGTAGCATTCTCAGAGACAAAGATTACAGAGAGTAAACATTTGGAGGAGGTAGACCGTGAGTTCAATTTTTATTCATATTGACCTTAAGGTATCTTGGATATTGTCAAGGGAAAAAAAAAAAAACATCATAAGAAGTCAGATCGATGAGTGTAGAGCTCAGGGAAAACAATAATGACCGTGAATTCATGTGGAGGACGTCTTGAGTGTCATTGCTTGTAAGGTAGATGCTTGATTGCAGTAGGCTGAGTGAAGAATAAGGACACAGAGTCAGGATTTGCTAACTATGTTTGTTTGTTTGTTTTATTTTTAATACAAAGCTATGCTGTAAATGGAAAATGTGGAAAATGGTCGGAAAAAGATATTTTTTTTATAAAAGAATAGTTTTTAACATGGATGTGGTCTGAATATATTTATATGCATATATGAAAATTCTACAAGGAGGAAAAATATTGCAAATGCTTAAGCAAGGGAGAGTGACTGAGTGAGGAAGTCTCTGAAGACAGGAGGTTGAGCACATATGGAGACAAACCCGGGACTTTAGGAAATGAATCTTGTCACTCAATGTGAAAAGGGAAGAGATAAGGGTGAATGCAATGGCATGGGGGTTCCTGGCAGGGCGCTGAAGGAATTCACATATGATAGCCATTATAATTTTCTGTGAAATGGGAGATGAGCACACCCCTCCATTCTTCCCTTCTTAGATCAACAACATAGCTGCCTTAAAGTTGTACGTCCCTGGGGAAGGGAAGAAAGTCTTCCCTGATCATTCAGTTTCCATTTGACTACGAACTTGTCCTATGGCCCCAGGCAAGGATGTTCATTTGCTAGATTTCTGGCATTTTCTTGTGTAACTTGGTAAGGATGACACATATGTGTAGCTATTACAAGAGGCTCCACACGAAGCATTACTCTATTATTTAAAATGACTAGGGTCTCCTAAAGAAGTTGAAGAAATCAAATTGTGTATCATACAGTTTAGACTTTCATAGGATTAAAAACTTATCAGATAATGTTATGTACCATTTATTACCGTATCAGTATACTCTTCTCACTTATAGGAAGGTGGATGTTTACAACCAAGCATTTCTTTGTCCAAGGTTCACATTAAAAAAAAAATTTTTTTAATGTTTATTTGTTTTTGAAGGGGAGAGACAGACAGAGCGTGAGGTGGGGAGGGGCAGAGAGAGAGGGAGACACAGGATCTGAAGCGGGCTCCAGGCTCTGAGCTGTCAGCCCAGAGCCTGACGTGGGGCTTGAACTCACGTAAGGTTCACATTGTTATTATCAAGATTGCTTGTGAAGTATGGAAAAATAAGCATAGAATGTATGCACTAAATAGCTAGGATTTAATATTTTGCTGCCTCAGACCAAGAGTTGTTTGCTTTAAAATAAAACAGAAGGGTTAGCCCCTGGGAACATGTGTGTAGGAAGGGTGGGAAGCCCTGTGATGGATGGATAAATGATTAGGGAAAAACAAAGGTAAACGAAGTGTATGGACATCATAGAGAATGAGCCTGAAAAAGTCCAGGAGGAATAAACAAGTTTTATTCACTCTCTCGACCTTAGGCCCCTCACTGCCTTCCATGCCGATCCTATTCTATCAGAACCAGGCATGCTCGGTAACCCCCAGGTTTTGCTTGTGTTTAGAAGCAGGTGCCCTCAAAATATCTCTACATGGTGATAGAGATAACAGTAATCTCCTACAGGGAAAATACCTGTATTTTTCGTAGGCATAAAGTCGCTCTTACACGTCAGCTGAAAGAGCTCTCTTTACTGATGTTTGCACAACGTCTCTCTCTAAAACGCTAAATAGCTGAGTGGCGCTGTTCATCTACACAGCAAGCACTGCCACCAGTGGAGGCATCTGGTCAATGAAGCAGGGTTTGCTGTGGCCTAAAAGTAGACAAAATGACACGAAATCACAAGAACTCATCTTGTGCCAGTCTGGATTTGTGCATGTTGACTGATGTAGGTTAGCATTCTTTTTTTTTTTTTTTAATTTTTTTTTTAACGTTTATTTATTTTTGAGACAGAGAGAGACAGAGCATGAACAGGGGAGGGGCATAGAGAGAGAGGGAGACACAGAATCAGAAGCAGGGTCCAGGCTCTGAGCCATCAGCCCAGAGCCCGACGCGGGGCTCGAACTCACAGACTGTGAGATCGTGACCTGAGCTGAAGTCGGACGCTTAACCGACTGAGCCACCCAGGCACCCCTGTAGGTTAGCATTCTTCATCCAAATATTAAGGCAATGATCCTAAATCTTCTGGGCTTTTGGATCAGTCCTGTCAAAACATGCGATAACGTGGCTAGTATTACAGGAACATAGAGCAGATCAAGTCTGTTGCGTAGGCTGTGAACGGAGAATTTTGTCTAGCTCTGTAGACGCTCTACATTATAAATGTAGA